ATCCTATTTCATCGATTAAATTGCTTCCAAGCCGTTTGGGAGCAAGGTTGAAGGTTGAAATTGTGTGGAGAACGATTGGAGTGGGTCTTCATTTGAGGTAAGGGGAGACTCTACCCTATCTTGTTTTGCTTGAAAACCTATTTAATTTCTATGTTTTGTAATGTGATTGAGGTAGATAATGTGTGGTGGGCATGATTGTGATGATCTGAAAGTGATTTGAGTGAATTTTTATGAAGAATTGATGTTGAATGTGATGAGTCGAATGGTTGAACCTAATATAGATGAATAGGTGTGTTGCGTGTCCTTGAATGATGTAAATGAATGGAAATGAGTATAGATGGCATGTTGAAATATTGTGTGTACCATGTGTGTCGTGTGTGGTAAATAAATGTGAGCCATTGGGTCGTATACTGTGAATGAATGTGGGCACTTGTGCCGTGTGTGCGAATGAATGGAGGCCTATGTGTCGTGTAATGTTAATAACTATGTATATTGTGCCGTGCGTTGTGAATGAGTAATATGTGTGGTTGAAATGTGTGTGTGAATGGGGCATGTTGAATGTCGTTGTAATGATGCTGTGATTGGTTCAGCGATATGTTGGAGGTGTGGAAGATGAAGACGGTAGAAATACCTTAGAGAAGAGAGAGTGGTGGTGACACCAACAGTGACCATGGGTACACCACAGGTCACACACTCTCCTCATGACTAGACTTCTGACTACTACCTTTGCTGAGCGACCCGTGACTGCCCACGCAGTATCTGTGAAGCGAGGGCGACCGATGACCATTCATAGTGTGAATCTGTGATCACAGTACCACAACAAACGTGGCTACGTGCGGTGAGAGCATGTGTGTAAATTGTTATGGTGTCGTGAGTGCATCGGCTATGAACTGGAATGAAATGGTTGAATTGTTGCTTGTAGTTACCTAGACTTGAGTAAATATGATAGAATACCTATAGATATGCATGGTGAGACTCCATGTTAGTTGTGTGTGTTGGATAGTGTAGAGTACTCACCCTTACATTATTTTTCAAGTAATCAAGACGATCAGCACTGGGCTCAGTGAAGGGGGATGCAACTGCTATAGGGCTTAGGATATTATTTTGAAAATGTTGTATTTGAAATGGTCCTGTAGCAGTTAATTGATATAAACTTGTAACCCTTTTCTCCATTTCGAAACATTTTATGAAACCATGTGATGAGAATTTTATTTAAATGAAAAATTTTAATATTCTCATTTTTGTGAAATTTATTATTTGGAAATCAAATTAAGGTGTTACACTAGGAGCCAACATGGGATTTTTATGCCCAACAACAAGTACAGTATTCTTATCCATGTTACTAAATCACCTTTTCCTTGTAACCTTGTGTATGCCCCCATTAGTTTTGTTTAAAGATTTTCAAGACAGTCTCAATATTCGACAACCCTGGCTTCAACTGTGGGATTTAATAGATTAAATGTAAATATAGCATAATCTTATTTTTGGTATATATTAGGTGTATCATTTTATTACTTTAATGTTAGCTGTGAATCTCTTTTGTAAAATGTATATCACTGACTATTGATTATGTAAATGAGCAAGAAAATCAACTTTCTTTCACTTTTCAACTTTGTTTTAGGGTCAACACTCAAGTATTCTTTCTAACTTTTTTTAGTCATTACACTCCTAAGAACAAAAAATTTAGGCTATTTAAAAATATATAACAAAAACTTAGTGATAGAAAGAGATGACTACATATATTAGAGTTTTTCAAACACTTAAAAAAAAAATTTGTTAGTAACAATGAGAAATCCTTTGTATAAGATAATGTCCCTTGCAGTCATTAAGATTTTACATCTCTTTTCTCTTGAAGAAAAATATCCAGAAATTACAAATTATAGCATCTTCAGACAAAATTATTATTTTATTAAATTTATGTTTTGAGGTATATGAAGTAGTAATCTAAACCTTTTTCTTTTCTATAAAAGATTTGTTGTATAAAGAGTATAAATTTTCATTTGTATTTACCAATTTCAAAAAAAATTAATTCTTTATTTTTCAAAGTGAGTCTAACTCTTTTTATAATTTAAAAAATGTCAATAAATTCTACATGTAACATCTTAAATTTAATTTCAATAAATAGTAATTTCACAAATTCAGAATAATAAAAGTTTCATAAAGCATTTCAAAATAAGAGAAGGGTTACAAGTTTCACATCAATTCACCGCTACAGGACTAGTTCATTTACAACATTTTTCAAATTAATTTCCTAAGCCCTATAGCAGTTCAAATGAATGTAAGGGTGAGTACTCTACACTACCAAAATACAATCAAACATAGAGCCTCACCTCTAACTCATTTTCAATACATTTATACAGATATAACACAAACAGCATCATTATCCAGTACATTTCAATTTAACATTGATGCACTCATGGCACCAACAACACTTTACATCAAAATTACAATTAATAACAATCTCGTGCTCACGTACGCCAGCCACACTCAATGTGGCACTGTGAGCATAGATTTACACCATGAATGGTCGCCGATTACCCCCGCCTCACAGATACCACGTGGGCAGTCACGGGTCGCTTAGCAAAGGTAGTGGTCAGAGGTCTAGTCAGGAAGAGAGTGTGTGGCCCGTGGTGCACCCGTTCCACAGTCGGTGTCACCACCACTCTCCCTTCCCTAAAGTATTTCTACCGTCCTCATCTTCCACACCCCTAGTGTATCGCTAAACCATTCACAGCATATTACAACGGCGCTAACACGCCCATTCACACATATTCCATTCACGCATACAATAATCATGCTTACACACGGCACACAACCCATATTGTATTCAAATACACAGCACTAGGCCCACATTCATTTCATTTTACACGGCACATAGCCAATGTTCATCTATATTACACGGCCCTCAGGCCCATATTTGTTCACAATATTCATTCTATCATGCAACATCTAGCATACAATTCACATTCATCAATTTTGAGTAAACACACACAATATTCACATCTCACGGCACATGGCCCTCATCACATTTCTCAACAATTTCCTACCCTCTAACTCAATTACATCACAATATTCAACAATTAACAGCAAATCACACATAATAGAGTAGGATAGAGTCCTCCCTTAGCTTAGATTGAAGACCCAACTCGGATTCGACCACGGACGTGCTCCCTACACAGATTGCGACCTAAAACATATGGAAGAACTTCATGAGAACCCAAGGAAGCCCATAAACAGAGAAAAGGGGATGAGAAATGGAACTCTAACCATTAAAACTCACCTCCAAGCGTTCCCTACACGGATTCAACCTTCAATCAAGCTCTTGAACGGCTTTGGAGGCAATTAATCGGTGGAACAGGGCTTTGAGAGCAAAAGGGCCAGAGAAATTTTGAAGGAGGAGGGAGAAATGAAATCTCCCCGAGCCCTAACCCCTTTAAATCATCTCTAGTCGCGACACTCTCGCTACAGCAAGATATTCTCACTGCAGCAAGGCATCTCTCACTACAGCGAGGCATCTCTCGCTGCAGCGATGCCCCTTGTCTCTACAGCAAAAATCTCAGATGAAACTGCACTCTGATTTTTGCAAAATCTCGCTACCCTCTCGTTACAGCGAGATTGAACCTAGAAATATAGTCCCTTCTGTCGCTCTCTCGCAACAGCAAGACATTTCTCGCTACAGCGAAAAGGCGACAGTTTCGCCCTTTCCTCCCAGAGCCTTCTCGCTACAGCGAGAAGAAGATTCTCGCTGTAGCGAGAGCTCCCTGCACCAGACATTTAGTCCATTTTCAGCCTAACCAGTCCAATCCAATCAATCATACATCCACACATACATATATATATATATATATATATATATATATATATATACACACTTTTAAATAACCAATACTTTGCAATATTATTAGTTCAACATATATATTTATTGCTAGTTATAGATTACTATAATTTTATCATATTTAATCATTTTCAATTGACGGGTTAGATAACAATTTTTAAAAAAAAAATTAATGTTTTATTATTCGTAAAAAAAAAATTTAAGATGTCAACAATTTTAACACTAGGAGTTTATATAACTGATTGTCTTACTTATACTAACTCAACTATTTATATTATATTTTTCTTCATTGATAGCGAAAGTCTAAAAAAAATGAAAAATAACAACTTTAACCAACAGATGTTAGTTTAAGTGGCAGGCGGTTTAGTATCACATAAGTAAAGTTTTGAGTTTGAGTTTTTGCGTATGCAAAAAATCTCCAGTAATACACTTATCTACCATATCTAAGTGCGCAACTTGGGTCGGATCCTGATTAAATCAGATAAAAAAAAAAACAACTTCAACTTCTTGTACTTTTTTAAAATAAGACTTATTTGTACTTTACTAAAGTATTAAATAATTTATAAATATGCAAAAATTGGTTACTACCAAAAAAATACCTTGATAGCAAGTAAAAAAATTTGTATCTATGCTTAAAACTTGAAGCATTAGTCCTAAGAACTGTTAAGGATAAGATTTAGATGTAATATTTTATATATCTTTAGTGTTATTTTTTAAACAGATTAAAAGTTTTACTTTGAAACTTAGTATATTATGCTGATTATAATGATGAAATTTTAATTAAAAAGTAATTAAAATAGCATTTAAAAATACTGTATCTAATTTGTTTCACTGGTTATCATTACTTATATATATTTTTTCCTTTTATATTTTCTTTCCTCCGATCCAAACGAGTATTGTTTTTGGTTATTAGAACCCAGCTAAGGCCTTATTGGTGCAATCCTCAAAGGATTTCAAGAGTTGGGACTGGATATGTGATTGGGGCAATAGCACTAGTTTTCTTCCATGGGCTGGATTTGGTTTTAAGATAATTTTCTTTAAAACAATTCAGTTTATAATAACGGAAAATTTTAACCTATTGTTCCACACTTAACATCTTCTCAAGTCTCAATCGTGGTAATCCTTCACTATTTTTAACAAGTTTTTTTTTTTTTTTGGTATTGTGTGAATATTTTTAGATTTAAGTAAAATATAAAAAATATTTAAATTTACAATTCTGATTTGCTTGAGTGAGAAATGCTTAGCCTATAAAGGATGATTCCAAATCTGAAATATACAAAATGTAATTTATATGAATTAAGCTAATAATTCTAACTCTGTCCTAATTTACAATGTATCTAGGTTCCTTGGTAACTGAAACAAATACTTTTAGTGTGTAGTTTCAGACAATAATAATACATTTTTGGTGTTAATGAAGCTTAAATCTATGACCTCATGTAATCTAATCAAATGTCTGACAAGACAAACTCTAATGACCTTAACAATAATAATACCTTTATTTAATACACATTAGTATTAATTCGGTTTGACTCAAAATTATTTTTTTAGTGTAATTTTAGTGCACAATTAATGCAAAAATTTTCACACTATCAACCAATTAAAATATATTGCAAATATACTTTTTATCAGTTATTACAAAAATCAAAGATTCTTGCATATATGACAATATTATATATGATTAGATGAAACTGTAAAAAAAATATTTAGTATTTAAATTAAAATTATTATTTCATTTTATAAGGAAGTATATATATATTGTCATTGAGCTTGACCTTGAAGAAAAGGTAAGTTTTCTTTTTCCCTGTGAAAGAAAAGCTCATTCAGTTTCTATGTTTAACTCAGTTCTAGCCCACGTACCTATCACCCTTCTTTCCAATACGACCAAACCATAATCTATTTCATTTTCTTTTATATAATTTTTTGAAAGCTTGCAAACAAAATTTTGTGATTAAATAATATCAATAATATCTTGTCAGTTATTTAAGTAATTTGAACAATAACATTCTCTACATACACAAGTAATGAGAAATTAATGGGATTTCTTGCTGTTTCATTATTGCGTAGAATAATCTTCATGGCAGAGAAATCTCATCTACCAAGATATTAAATTCCATATAATAATGTTATTGATAATGTTTCGATAAAGATGTAGTCAACGGGTGTACCTTACATCTCTAAAAACATCATAAATTACTAATGCTGAGGAAATCATCAATTTCGAATAATTAATTTAAAATTGATTTAGTTGATATCTTTTGTGTTTTTCTTCTTTCTTTACATAATGTCCATCACTTTTTGAGTTTTAAGTAGTAGCATGACCTGCCATCTACACTTCGCATTTTGCTGTGATGGTAATTACATTAAGAATATGTATTATTCTTAGAACATAGCATACTGTATTATACGCTGCTGTATGAGTTTGGCAGGATAAAATTCACTTCAACTTAGCTCAAATAAAAGATTTGAGTTAAAAAAAGAAAACAACTAACAGATACCTACGAAGTCATACAAAAGTTTAAACCCCCCAAAATGTGATACAAGTGGGACAAAATAAAAAGTAATAGTTGCAGCAACGGTAAAAAAAAAAAAAGTTTACACCTTTATACTAAATTAAAAAGAAATAATTCAAGATCCTAATAAAAAGAAATAATTAAGGGAAATAATTCAACAAATTTATGTTGAAGAAATTAGGATTTTATTAGAGTATCATTATTATCAATGTGCAACATCATCCATTATTTTAATCCATAAGAGTAATATCCTGACTCGAAGCATCGTGTTTGGATGATCTTTGACCACAGCAAGATTCTTATAAAGCTCTCAATATGTATTATATGCCAATATGAATACAGATTGTTGTATATTAGACACAACATAATAATATTTTTCATGTATCATTTAATATAAAATTTGACTAGTTAAGTCTTAAAAAATTATTGTAATGTATTCCAATTCCGCACATATTTCTTCTGCATAACTTCTTTCCAATTGCAACTTTCATCAGGAACAAGAAGAATCTCAAGGATGTTCGCTCATCGGCTGCATAAACATACCAAGCTATCTATCTTCTCTCTAATCACATTCTCAGCCATAATATTTCTTATCCATGCAGATAGTATTATCTACCATGATTCGCTACACTCTAAGGCTATTACAAGAGAACCAGAGAAGTTGCAAGTTCACAATCCTAGCAGCAGAGAAGGAATAAGTTTAAGACTTACCCACATACCTTTACATTCCATTCAAGAGAAGGATGAAGCTGAAACAAATCAGAATGCTCTAGTTGCTCCATTGAATGTCACAGAAGAAGAAAGAATAACTTGGTTTCGAGAACACCTGCATAAGTTCAAGATTCTCAACTCAAGCAACTTGACCAGACAATTTCATGCTCGGGTTTTAGGATTTTTCAGCCAAGAATGTCAGGCTCAGTTTTTTATGACTTGGATTTCACCTGCAAGGTTATTTGGAGGAAGAGAATTGCTGTCTGTAGAAAGTGTTTTCAAGGTCCATCCTAAGGCATGTCTAATAATTCTATCAAGAACTTTGGACACCAGACACGGCTACAGGATCCTGAAACCACTGCTTGATTGCGGGTTCAAAGTTCAGGCAGTGACCCCAGACTTGTCATTTTTGTTTAAGAGGACACCCGCTGAAGCTTGGTTTCGTGAGTTAAGGAAAGGTAGAAAGGACCCTGGTGAGATTTCTCTGTCTCAGAATCTATCTAATTTAATAAGACTTGCAGTTCTCTACAAATATGGTGGTGTCTACATAGACACAGATTTTATAGTGCTAAAACCCTTAACAAGGTTAAGGAATTCTATTGGTGCACAAAGCATGAATTTGGGTTCCACACACTGGAGTAGATTGAATAATGCTGTTTTGATTTTTGATATGAGACATCCACTTCTACACAGATTCATCAACGAGTTTGCATTGACTTTTGATGGAAACAAATGGGGGCATAATGGCCCCTACTTGGTTTCCCGAGTGATTAAGAGGCTGGGGAAAAAACATGATTTCAACCTCACAATCTTGCCTCCTGTGGCCTTTTATCCAGTGGATTGGAATAAGATAAGTGGGCTCTTTATGAAGCCAAATACTCAGGGTGAATCAAGATGGGTAGAAGCTAAACTTCTTCAGCTTAGTGGGAAGACTTATGGGGTTCATCTATGGAACAAACACAGTAGCAGATTGACAATTGAAGAAGGAAGTGTCATAGGAAGACTAGTATCAAATCACTATGTCATTTGTAACCATACATATAGTTCTTAGGTAATAGTTTATGACATTAAAAAGGCAGGGATTTCATCACTTGGTAACCATATTAACCTGTTGAAGATCAAGACTATCAAGAAAATAATTTCTCTTTTGAATACCAAAATTTTACTCTTCCCACTGTAGAGGAAGCACTCTGATTGTCGTAAACCAAAACTAACTCAACAAGAAGTGCATGAATTTTCTTTCATGATATTGATTTTATATCTTTACCAATAGCTTAAAATCCAATACTAGTTGCAATTCCCCCATATTTTTTGTAAACGAAACACAACCACAACGCAATTGCAATTTAAAATCACAGAGCAATCTAAACTAGTTAGAATCTAAATTTTCCACATTTTTACAGAATGAATTCTGGCAATATCCTGATAGCCTAACCACCCAAGGATCCTGAAATTCATGCTCATTGCCCAACAAATATTAAGGATTAGTCATAGTGAGCCACTATAATAATGGTTTGCCGTTTGCCAAATGCCCAAGACTACATGCTCCATTTCAAATAATCTTGTCAGGGGTGTTTTTTTTGTTTGCCTTACATCAACGTTAGCAAAAATCTACTTTCATAAGCTGAGGAGAGAGACAACAGGAAGCAGCTGAAGATAACAACGAAGATGAAGACATGTACAAGGAATTCTGGTGTTTTATCATCTGCCAGATCTACTCCTTTAATCATCAGAGGCAATAAACCAGTGGACTTCTACAACTTTTCCTAAATAGATGGCATGCCTAACGGTATTGCAATTATAAAGCAAATAAATTTGAAAGGTTTCTTTACTCCTTTTATTTTAGAAAGATCTAACATAATGGACAAAACTAAGAGGGCCAATACCATTAGAAAATAATTAAGATGACTGCACTTTTCTTTTGGAGATGAACATAGAAAAACACATTATACCCAAGCACCTTATTGAACAAAGCAGAATTACTGTATAAGAACATCTCATGCATTTTCATGGCACGGTTTAATTTAGTAAAACAGAAACATTTTCCAGTGTTATGGATGCGCTCACAGTCCTTTCCGTCTCCTATGTCTCATTTGACTAACATCTCAGACTTTTCATTAACAAAAGCGGCAGTTGTTGCTTAGAATCAATGAGATAATATCCAATGAAGCACAAATCCTAAGATAAAAATATCACCCTTCTTTATTCTCTTTTATTAAATTATTACTGTTCTTCCAATCCCCAATTCCAAAATGCTAAAGCAAGAGTCTTCATAATAGAGTTTAAAACAAGACAAATAAAGCACGGTGAACTCAACTAAGAAAATAATAAAAACTGATATAACATTATCAAAATCCAAATCGTACATGCCATAATGGAATCACATATATCAACAACTAAACCACGAAATAGTACAAATTACAATTTCACCACAAAAATCAACCAGAAAAGAGGGACTCATCAATTTCAATCTTCACGACCTCGTTATCTTCGAATTTGTCTTTCTTGGAAGGTGCCGGAGGAGAATAAAGCCTCGGTGGTCCTCTACCCTTCTTCTTATCCTTTGGCCTTGCCTAATAATAATAATAATAATAACAAGTAACTAAAAAAATTGAAAACAAAAGAGAAAATGGGAGAAGAAGTTTACATTTCCAAATGAATGGTTGAAGCGCTTTCCCTTTGCAGTTTTCCTGTCGCCTCTGCCACAGTAGACTGGGAGAGAAAGAAAAGGTAGAATTGTGAAATGAAGTGTTGAAAATTATACAAAATTAAGCAAAATATTTGCAAATTTTGAATTTTTTATTCCTATTTAAATGTTATTTTGAAGCAAGTACCAAAAGGGGTTGGTGAAAAAGTGGAGGTGGCAGAGGCGGAGAGTGAAGGAAGGGGTGTGAAGAGCGGGGAGAAGAGAGTTTGGGAGTGAAAGAAGGAAAGGTGAGAAGAGGTAGCGTGAGATTGAATGACAAGTGGAGGAGGTGATGCTAGCAACAGTGACGCCATGGCTGAGGATAACTCAAGGGATAAGGTTTGAGAAGGAAAATATATGTCATTGGAGCTGAAGTTGTTTTGTGTATTAGAGTCAGGGAGCAATTAGACACAGAAAATTTGGCGGTAGAGATACGAGAATTCAAATAAAATTATTTTCAGTGAAATGTTTCCGTAATAAAAAAATTGGGTTAAACATATATATATTTAAGATTTTATTTTTTTATTTTAATTTCTACTTTATTTTAATTTAATACTTTTGACTTCTCTTATTAACTTAGAGGGTGGATTGAGTATAAAAAAAGAACCCTCGCATCTAATAAGTTACATATTTGAACACTTATTTTTTATAAAGTCAATTTTGTAAGAGTTCAACTTTTTTACTTGAAAATTGAATACCATTTTTTTCCTTAAAAATTCTTGTACTAGAAAAACTTTAGATAATAAAAATTTATAGAAAATGTTTCAATTTTCTCTTTTTCATTAATGCACACCAAAGTGTTTATATCAATACAAATTTAAATTATTAATTTATTTAATTGATTCAACACTTCTTCATAAGATAGGTATAATATTTATAATTAAATTTTTTAAATATTTCTAATTTATTATTTAAAAATTATTAAGATTTAATTTATAATTATTATTTAAATAAAATTAGTCTTTTTTTCTTTAATTTTAAAATGTTTTATTTTTGTTCTTTAAATTTTTTTTATTCATTTACATTCTTAAAGTTTTTTTTAAGTTAGTTCTTTTTCTTAGATTAATTTTGTTACATAACCTAATAGAGATATTTTATGTAACACTGAGGTGGTCTTAACACTTTTTATTTAATTCACTTTTTTATTTTAAAATTTATTAAAAAATGATAGAGCTTGATCGTAAATCCTCAAACTCTAACAGTACTGTCATAGAATAAGCTGAACTTCTCTAATAATTTCATTATCGATGAATTTCTGACATAATTGTAAAAATGTTAAAACCTCTAGTACTTATTGATAAAGTAAAAATGGCTTTATATTTTCTCAAAACACTTATTGAACTTATTTCTAAAAATTAAATCTTGTAATTTTTATTTATACTGAAAGAACTACAAAATATTTAACTGTCAATCTTAAAATTTAGGAATACTCATCAAATATAAAAACTAAAAACTATATCTTTCATTGTTTTGAATTTTTTAATTTTCTGAAAATAATAACTCGCTTTATCTCATTGAATGATAAATTAAATGTTGCACTCAGAGAACAGGAGCTAATATAATAATTAGAAAAATAATTATGCTATTTTTATTTATCAAGCTTTACAGTTTGCAAGCTATTTCATGGCAATAGTTTCTATTAAAAATATTATTATTATAGTCAATGTTATAACAATTTAATGCAATATAATTAGTTTTTGGCCTATTTGATATACTTTGTGAAACTATAAATAATCTTGTCATTGTTCAAGTCAAGATCTATACATTAAATTCTTAATTCTCAAAAATTAACTCGAGTGCATATATTTGGATTTCATTATATAAAATTAATAGTATGAATCGTTCTATTTATACTGATGCATCTAGAAATAAATCAGGTAGCAAAACTTATTCAAAATATGTCATTTTAATTGTTAGCATGATCATAAAAGACAAGTTGAATTTAGTTGCCTTTTTTTTTTTTTTTTTGTTAACTCTTATCTTATTCTGCCAAAAGTTTAGCTGAGATTATTTTATATATTATTTTTATTTTCTTGTTGTTGCATGCAACTTAATAAATAATGAGATGAAACTTAAACTTAATCTACATTAACATATCTCTAAACTTAGACTTAATTCAATTGTTGTTCTCTGCAGTTGCCAATTAATGAGAGATTTTATCACAAAGGTTTTTAATTTATGTTTTAAGCATTTTTTTTTTGTGAAAAAATAAAATGTATTGTAACTTACTATTACCAACAATCTAGTATGAATAACAGAACATGAACATGAGAAGATACCCAATTTTCTAAATATAACATTGGTAGAATATCTGACATCCCTCTTGTGTCTAAAGCATGTCAAATGAAAGATTGGAAAATAAACGGTATGCCAGTCCTTGAGGATGTTGCACAGCATCATCAAATATCTATTGCTTTAGTGTCCTCCTTTTTGAGGTGTGTAGTTAGTTCATAACGTCTCTCTTCATTTTAAAATGTAGTTTTCCTGCATTCTTTTATAATTTTTATTCATGAAATTGAGATGTCTATGTACATATGAACTTATGAATTGCAAATAGGAATATGCTTGTCATATATATTAGAGCTCAAAATGGCTTTCTAGTATTAGTAATGGTTTAGAAACTTCTAAGCTTTTCCTTTGGTTTTTCTCTATATTAACATCTTAGTTAGACTAAACAAAATGTCTATGTACATTTCTTGGCAAATTGGCTGCCTCATTTTAAGTTGAATATAAAACTGGTGTGGAAGTTTAGTGCAAATCTTTCTTGTCATTAAACTTAAACAGTTGGTAAAATTGGAAGGGATTTAATGTTTAGTAAGTTTAGTAGCTGATTTTATTTAGATCAATTTTTTTAACTACTTGGCCATTTTAACTTTGAAAGAGTGTACATATTGCAGTAATGTCAGATCTTCACCGTAGGAATTTTTTCTCTAGTTTTCTTATCAGAAAGTCTTAAGGAAGTTGGCTTTTGTTTTTGGTTATTGCATCATGAACCATCATCACGCCAACAACAAGGTAGTATAGAATATTTTCAATTGTAGATGAGATCATATTTAATTTAATAACATTACTAAAAAAAGGATTTCTCAAACATGTGATATATCATTCATTTTTTTTATTTTTTGTTATATGTTGTAAATATGGAAGATTGTATAATGAAATGATGCTCTCAGGCTTATCAATGATCTCTTATATGTTTGTTAACACTTGTCATTAGGTTTTTATGTTACAATTTTCTTAATCCATTATGTAATTTTCATTATGCAATAACTATTATGAAATTATCATTTTCCATTAGATCTTGAATTACATTGTTCTCACAACACAATACATGGTTCTCATACAATTAAGGGTTTAAAGAGCACTAACCTGAATATATTGTTCCTTGATGTTACCTCTCTCTTTGATGTCATTGATCCCTTTGTATCTTCCCCAACTCTTCCTTTCTCTTTTAGCTCCTCTCAGATGGTTGAGAGAAAGTTTCTTTCTTGCGTTTACTGTAAGCACACTTAGAGACCGTGAAAGTGATAGAAAATAGAGAATCTCGTAACCTCTATTTGGTAACCGCTCTTTTATTTATGTGAAGGGAGAGGGGAGGGTTTCCTTATAATTGTATTTACAATTATACCCTCAATGACTCTATATTTTATATTTAACCACCATCACATTAAATCATTAATTAGAGTCATGCTATAAGTTACATAAGCCACGATAATAAGATTATTAAAATAATCTAACAATCTCTCACTTGGCCTATGTGACGACTTGAAGATTCAATGAACTGTAAGTGCGCATATCATTGATAATATCAAGTCATCATCTTTTAATGATTTAAGTTGATTGGATCATGGCGGTCATAAGTCATTTAACGACGTGATTCCTTCCAAGTATCACAGAATTAACTCAAATCAAAATAACTTTAATCAGTCATACTACAGACTGTAACTTTGAACCTGTTATCAAACTCAAACCATACATGTACATTAATACAATTCAGATAACAATACTTTTATTGAATTCCTAAAATGTCTATAATAATATGAGCAAAACAATCTATACACATATATGTGAATCACACAATTATGCTAACAAGAACTTGTCTATAATGTCCATTTTACCAACATGGCCAAAAAATGTTTTAGGGGGCAATCCCTTAGTTAGCGGATCCGCTATCATTAAATCAGTACCAATATACTCAATAGACACTTTTTGTTTCCGCACTTCTTCTTTCACTAATAAGTATTTTAAGTCCATATGTTTTACTCCCTTTGAATACTTATCATTCTTAAAAAAGAAGACGGCTGCAAAATTATTACAGTACATTCTTAGTGGCTTTTTTATATTATCAATAACACCAAGCCCTAAGACAAAGTTCCACAACCACAAAGCATAAATAGTGGCCTCAAAGCACGTCACAAATTTCGCTTCCATGATAGACATAACAATAATGGACTCCTTTCCGCTCTTCCATGAAATCGCACCTCCAGCCACAAGAAGATGTAGCCAAAAGTTGATTTCCTTGAGTCTACACATCCAACATAGTCTGAATCAGAGTAGCCAACCACTTCCAGGTGACTAGATCTCCTATAAGTAAGCATGTAGTCCTTGGTGCCTTGTAAATACCTAAGGACTTTCTTTGCAGCCTTCCAGTGGTCCATTCCGAGTTTACTTTGATATCGGCCTAACATTCTAACAGCAAAACTGATATCAGGCCGAGTGCATGTCTGAGCATACATTAAACTCCCGACCACTGATGCATAGGGAATAGATTTTATTACTTTCTGCTCTAACTCATTCTTGGGACATTGTATTTCATTAAACTTGTCTCCCTTTTGAATTGGAACTACCCCTGATGAGTACTTTTCCATTTTGAATCTCTCTAATACTTTGTTGATGTAGCCTTTCTGAGATAATCCCAGTAATCCTTGTGATCTATTACGGAATATTTCTATTCCAATCACATAATAAGCCTCACCCATATCTTTTATCTCAAAGTTCTTAGAGAGAACTCTTTTACATCATGCAACAACCCAACATCATTAGTAGCAAGAAGAATGTCATCAATATACAAAAGTAAAATGATGAACTTGCTCCTACTGACCTTCATATAGATACACCAGTCAACAGTATTATCTACAAAACTATATGACGTGATGGTATCATTGAACTTAAGATACCATTGTCTGGAAGCCTGTTTCAACCCATATATTGATTTCTTTAACTTACACACTAGACTTTCTTTACCTGTGGTCAAGAAGCCATCTAACTTATCCATATAAACTTTCTCTTCTAAGTCACCATTCAGAAAAACGATCTTTACATCCATTTGGTGAAGCTCTAAGTCATAATGAGCCACTA